TTTATTATTATTTGCAGGATTTCTTGAAATTTTTATTTAGCTGCCCCACTAAATGGAGGCTTATAGACTCCAGCAAACTGAGCCTTAAAGCGGTGTTGTTACACAAAGGGAACAAAAAACCTTCTGTTCCTGTAGCTCATGTTGTCGGCATGGAGACTTAAAGAGTCGATGGAAATCCATCTAAAAGCGATTAATTAATCGGCTTATGTGGAACATTTGTGGAGATCTAAGGTAATTTCTCTCCCAAGGCTGCAGCTGGGGTACACAAAACACATGTGCTTCTTGTGCCTGAAAGACATGCACACAGTTGGCAGGTACAATTTGCAGCATAACCCATTGGTAAACCCTCAGAAAGTCTACCATCCACCTCTTCATATCAAACTCGGCCTCATGAAAAACTTTTTGAAAAGCAATGGATCATGACGGTAATGGCTTCCAGTATCTAGAGAAGTTTGACGCAGGGAAAGCTGATGCTAAACTCAAAGCAAGTTCAAAAATAAGCTGAACTCACTTGAGTTTGCAGAGTGGGAAGCATTTGTGTTGGTTGTGCAGAACATTCTTTGGAACCATAGTTGAACAGTAAGTAGAATGTGGACAATATGCTAGAGGCCCATCAGCGAATGGGCTGTAGAACTTATAAATGCACTTGCATTCTCTTCCGATGGAAACTTGGTATCAAAGCCGGTTCAACCCAAACAGGATTGACGATTACTGCCGGTTCCTACAACGGGCGACCATTTCCACACAAACGCAAGTGTCACTTAACACTTAAGCCCCGTCCACACATCGAGCAGTGCCCGGCGGGCTTTGCCGGTTTACCGGGCAAAGCCGGTGTGCTGTTGTACACACAGGGGTGGTTGGCGGCAGTCATAGTTGGGCGCCGGTAGCTAGTAGATGGTCGGCAGTGGCGGATGCGGTACGATCACCATGGTGTGTAGCAGGAATAATCACAGGACAGTTAAAGCAAAGAACATAGCGTTGTGTACTATAATTGCGATGTGCAAAAAGAAGAACCAAATGCAGAAAAGGGAATGGTGCAAAGAGTGGTTAGGTCGAAGAAAAGTATTGGGAAGTCATGCCACGATTTTTGGTGAACTGCAAGATGGACATGAGCAAGACTTCACCAATTACATGAGAATGGACCCAACACCTTTTACAAACTTCTAGCGAAAGTGGAACAATATATAAAAAAAAAAAAAACAGGATACCAATACGAGGGAGAGTATATCTGCAGAGGCTCGTCTAGAGGCATTGCTCGTATATCTTTCAACTAGGTGCACCTACAAGTCACTTTAGTATAGAACGAGGATATTAAAACAAAGTTTGTCTCGCATAATACCTGAAACTTGTCAAGCCATGTATGAAGTACTCAAGGCAGATTACTTGCAGGCGAGATTTGTAGTACATAAAAATTCATTGAATAACTGGAATTATGATATGCAAGACAGGAATCCATGGGACTAGAGTGAGGAGAGCGGCAGGAACGAAGAACACACACGAATGTCCTCATTACATAATACATCTCCCGTTTATTGTCACGCCAATAATGTACATTGCTTAAGCATATTTGGTTATACACTGGACATCTGGACCGAGCTGGGAACATATACGTATCACATTTGTAGTACTTAAAGTCGTCGCTCCATATCAGGCAGCAAACCACCAGGCAGGCGGACCATGATTTCGCTCAACGACAGGCACAGGCACTCCACTGGTTTGCCCGCCAATTTTGCCCGATAACGGGCATTTAGGGCGTGCCCGCCGGACACTGCTCGATCGTGTGGACGGGCCTTTACAAGAGGTGCTTACGCCGAATATATTTAAATTAGTTAAGCATGTTCGAAGATTTGGGTTAGGTCTTTCTGTAATTTCTATGTTCTGGAATTGTATCCTACGCATTATAAACGTGCAGACCAATCCTTGTTATCCAAGCATGTTTAAGTATTTAATAAGCACCGTTAGACGTACATTGTGGTAGTGTACAATCAGTGCGTTTAATATAGCATAGCAGGCATCATTAATACAGAACTTTAAAACAGGACGTGATGGCCGATTTTCCACTTCAGTTTTGAACTCAAGAACACCTGCATTTCTCTTAGTAGACAAAAAGCTTATCCATGTGATTTGCCTACCTATAATTAATTGCACACTTCGACCCTCAAATTTCACTTTTCAATCTGATCTTTTTCAGGTGACTAGCGTGATCATTCCCACCAAAGAATAATCTCATTAGTGCCTTAAAACTTAATTAAAGTTCGACACTACGGAAAATTACATTAGCTTCATTTCATCAATATATTTATCGCCGGTCTACTTCCATACTTAAAAAGAGGTCCCTGAAACAAACGAAGGTTTCTGCTCAAAATTCATTTTAATTGCCCTAGATCTATAAAAAAAATTTTTCCTAGGACAGGGTCATTCATTAAGTGTAAATAAGAAAGCCAGAGAATGTAGTATATGCCTCATTGCCAGGGTGCTCGTAGATAATTCCCTGCTCTAGCTGCAGGGAGACCCTGTCCCCTTGTTCCAAATTCAGGACCGCCGAGTTAGAACCGTGCTCGTAGTCACTCGACTTGCCGTAAGCAGTCACCTGGTACCTGTCATTCAGGTTCAAAGCCATTCTGAAAATTAAAAAACCTCGCTTTAATGAAATTCTCGATCATCCAAAAGGTTAGAGCTGCTAGTTAATTTCAACTACGGTTAATTTTTTAGGCGTGAACATTGGACAAATGTTCCCCTAGTTTAAGAGTCCAAAAATAAATCCAAAATGTTTAAAAAACAAATCGACTAAAACTTACGTAAAATCACTGTTAAAAGCGCTAACAGCGTGGAAGATGAAGAAATAGAAGCCATCGTAAGGAGCCACGAACTCGTTGTTGCGAGTGTCCCAACCCTCGCCTCCGTTTGTCAAGACATCCTGTACAAATCATACATTAAGTAGACTAATCTTGTGGCACTGCTACACCAAAATTAGCCATTTGTTATGAACAAAAAATCTTTCCTTTACCTCAAAGGTGTGAACCGGACTATTACTACCAATAGATAACATGAAGTTCAGATGAATCCGGTAAATCAGATTACTTTTCATACGAGTTTTTACAGCCAAACCCAGCAAATTTTAAGAATGCACAACCGCAAAAATATTTCTTCGTAAAACCTTTTGATGCGCTTTAAAAATCAGACTAGTCCCTTGCTTGAAGAAATCTGGGAAAGTACGAATAAAAATAACAGTCTAGTCTAACTACCAGCGTTGTCCAAATACAACGGTCCACGTTAAAAACCAGCAATTGGGTAAATGTAAACCAAATATGAAAACCTTCCTACAAACCCCAGGGGTACACCATAGCTCCACTTGGTGCTTTAGAGCTATATTACTTCGTAAAATGTTAAGTTTAAGTGTACTATAGAGATAGCAGTTTCGTTAAACTCAGTAGACCACATAGGCGTGAAGGCTCGAAGTGGCCAATGGGGTCGCAGTACTATACTAAGCTGGGACTAGACTACCACCTTCAATTTCCCAACAACAAAGTGAAGTTACCCATGTACACTTGGTTGGAATGGGTCTATAAATAACCTTTAATATCTCTACATCGAGGGGTTAAGATACAACACTCACCTCGAATTGGACGCGAGTACCTGGCCTAGAGTCCGTCCTCGCCTTCCTTACGCTGAACGCTACACTGAGGAAATAAATTTTTTCGTCAAAACCGGTTTGTGTATTCTGTAATCACAAATACCCTCCCACCACACACGATCTACTATGAAAGCGGAGGTGTGAATTATAGTAGCGTTTAGTAGTAAAACTATAAAGCTGATTAGGTGTCCTAAAATTTCCCATCCCCTCAGAAGCAAAAGATTTTATGTATTGCAGAGAAGTCAGTTTTGTTCGATTTACTCAACACTATACATAGGCACCGGAATGGAGCTTTTCATTTGCGTTACCAGGAGAGAACATACCTGCAAAAACACAAAAATACGTAAAATTACCAGCTTTAAAAACCTAAAACACAAAATAACCTACAGTAGACTGTTCCTGCACCATGGAAGACAACACGCCTGCCCTTACCAGTCTTATCTTAGGAGCCAGTCGCCAAATTAAACTTTGTACCAAGACATGTTAACATTTACCCTCATTCTCAAAAATCACTGCATTAAGACCACACACTACTGAAGAATTTAATACAAGGATGAGTAAGCTCATCAGTCATCACAATCAAAATATAATGAAAGTCCACCGACAGATTAATGCATTGAAAAGGAAGCCAACAGTTAACAAGTCACGATTATCCTATTTTTTTTTTAATCCTTTATTAAACCACAGCTCAGCTGCTCTTCGGCTCTTGACGAAGGTACAAAGAATGGTTACTAGAATTTCTTTTTTACCCTTTTGTTAAAAAAACTTTAGGACTATCCACCTTAACAGGGCCATTGTTCCATCCTCAATTCGTGGGGCATTTTAATATTAAACCTAATATTTGTCCAGAACTAGTTATAAACCTTTCGGAATACATTTAGCAAGAGACTTCCCAGTAATATACGTATATAAAAAAAGTGCCCCAACACGAACCAGGCGGTTAAGCAGGTCCAGTAGTTGCTCGTGTATCTCCCACTACAACCCAGATGTTCACTGTGGTGCTCTGAAAACACCACCTTTAGAATCCAAGGATAATTTTCTTCTACATTATAATTATTCTCTGGACTTATTTTACATGTAGTATACCCTCGCCCTCTACCAATAAAGAGAAAGTAACCTTGGATATGTAGGTTCTGGTGGACGACGGAGCCCTGGTGCAGGACGGGGCCTGAATACATCAAGATCTTCCTCCTCGGCAGCCTCATCTTGTGCCCTAACACACAGGGCAGCCAAGACGATCACCAGCAGGACACTTCCCCTATTGTGCATCTGCCAGATAGTACAGTAGTTCCGTATTAATCCATAGCACAAGAAAATCTCGCCTACCGTTAAAAAGTTATGTAATAGTACCTACTTACAACTCAATTTGAATTTGTTATCCCGGTCAACAATACCACACGTGTACTTTTAGGAACGAGATCTGGTTTGCCAGCGAGAGATAAAAACCGGTTAATTTCGATTAAGGACAAAAGGAACCGATATAAAATATCGTTAATTTCGATTACGGATAATTGATGGAAATTTTGAAAACTATTACAAGTTCAGCGTTTCCTTTGCACTTCATATAGTTATTTCTTAGTGTAAAAGGGAAATGTGGTCAACAAGATTAAATTAAAACCTATCCTACGAAGGCGAGGTTTTATAAGCTCCATCATTGTGGGAAGATTTACGGTGCGGCGACCGCGTTACCAGTCATGACCAACCCAAGTACAAAAACTATGGTTGCTAAACAAACCACCACCTTATTTCTTTTACACATTTTAAAAGGAAAATTTACGAAGGTTACCTTAATAAAAAAAGGGAAAGAAACCAAGCACAAATAAACTTGGTAATTTCAAACCGTTCCTAGAACAGTTTGTCCTTCGAGCAGACTACGAATCTTACAATTATATTAAGGACAGAACACGAACCTAGACTACTATAAGTGTCAGGCAGTAACTTTCGTAGTCGAGTTTCAAAACGTTAGGTACTCTTCGGGATTTTCGTACAAACTACTGTATAGAGCAGTTCCACGATGGGGCAAGATAAATTTAAGTTTAATTGGATAGTTCATTACACTTTGGTCCAATGAAACAAACCATTATTGAATTAACTAATTTTAGCAGAAATCGACCAGTGTGTGGCGTTACTCGCGTCTATTCCTGTAAATCACAGCACTGTTATTAGTTCTATTCGCGGGGGAACGTGGAAAATTTAATGGCTGCTACATATTTTTTATAGGGGTTTCCTTGCTCCCGGTCGATTATTATACCCATTTACGAAAATACAGTAAAATCTAATGCAAAGTTATCCAGGAATATTTTTCGATACGAATTAATATGTTCCACTTCAATTACCATTTATGTGGTTTCATTGAAAACGGTGAGCCTCCGTGACCGTGCTGGGTTACGGACCTCAACTGGTTAAACATATACTGTACAGGGAGATAGGGTCAAGCAGCACCCAACAGATTTAAATCTGGGGCTTCTCATAATACTTTCATGTCCGTTAGGCAAGAGCCGGCAATATGGATACGAAATATTACTTACCCTGTACCGGATTGCCGGGTACTGCTAATCAACACATTATGGGACGCTTCCCCAGGCAATTTTATAAATCTTTGGTTTACTAGTTTGCCCCTTTTCCGCCTGGTTGGAATATGACATCAGTGTCTTCCTCCAGTTGCATTTAAAGAAACGCTCCGTTAACTACAGTAAGCTCATGTATCGTTCGATTTAATTTCTTTAGAAAACAAACATGCTCATACCAGATGGAAAACAACATTCACGAAACGTTTATCTCTTCCATACTTCACTTCTAAAGAATTCGGACCTACACCAGTAACGGGATTGAGCAAAACGAATTACAGTATCAAACTTGCCTAACCAAACGTTCGTTTAATTTGGATTTTAAACAGCAAAACGCTTCGATTAGGTTTGGTTGGTTTGATTTACCTGCTATCGATGGTTCAGGACGAAAGTCTACTCGAAAGATCCTTGCGAGCGTTTATTTAAACAAGCTAACCACACAACTAAATCATACTACAGTAAATCTTCAAGATATAGCATTTCTGAAGTTATTTCACACCCTTTAACTACGATATTTAAGACTACGCAATAGAATACGAGTAGTTACCTTATTACGAATGCGGGGTCGATAACAAAAAAATGTTTCATCTGACAGTATTGAAAGAAAAGGAGTCATTACTATCGTCGAGGATCGATACAGTTTGTTCCAACAAAACACCGAAGTGTTAAAAGGAAAATGCATTTTAATATTTGCAGAACAAGAACTTGTTCAATAAAAAAACATCTAACTGCCCCCATCTAAAACCAGGTCGTGAGAAGGTAACCGCTTAATGGATTTTACGGTATAGAGATAATAAGAAATAATTTAACAGACGTATATAACATATTCCCCCAAACACATATAATCCAACAAAAAAGCGAGAAAATGCACTTACCTTGACAGATGGAAGAGAATTCAGCAATGTCGATTATATACAACAAAGTATTCGTTGCAACTGATTTGAGTTTTCTAGGCCGTCTTCGTCGACAACTTGCATGAGAATGAGACGGCCAAGTAATATGAATACAATAGTAATCTTAGGAGATGCGTTAGTAGTTCCCAGCGCCATCTATTGAACTGCGAAGCTATTAGCGGGTGAAAGAGAAAACGCAGGTAAACTACTGCAGGTGTTCCTAACACTCTTCCAAGTGATTATTACCCTCCAGAATCGATCTCTCAAAGGTGTGTGTGTGTGTGTCCTCGAATGTGTTCATCCATGCAATGTGTGTGTGCCTTCCTTTATACCTTTACCATGTGTGGTGTGTGTTGGGGGGGAAGAGGGGGCATCCTACAAGTCAAGTTTCCCTCCAAGTGTGTCTCTCGGGTGTGTCACTCACAAGTGTCTCTTCCAGCTGCCTGTCTCCCAGGTGTATCTCTCACATGTTTTGGTCTTCCAGTTGAATCTCCAAAGAGTGTGTTTACCAGCTTTGTCTTCCCAGGTGTACATCTCACAATGTTTAGTCTCCAAGCTGAGTGTTAAGTAGCTGTGTCTTCTAGGTGTACCGCCAATGTGTGTGTACCATCAGTGTTTTGTTACCCAGGTCTTTGTTGCTCCATATGTTTGTCTCCCAGTAATAACAACCGCTTCTGCTGTCGAGTTATATTCCCTGTGTCCTTTTTTATCCGTTTAATATTCAATATTTTACACTTCTAACCTCACATACATACTGAGCAATAAAATAAAAGTCCACGTGCTAAAAATTTATCCAAAGAGTTGAACATCATTTTCATATTTTTCGTGATAATAGTAATTGCTATTTTCAAATTTAACTCCTGTGTCCCTTCCTGATGAATTTACTGAATACACTAATATACAGTACAGTTGATATAATGATATTTCTCTAATTGTATAGTATCTTAATAGATTTTTTTTTAGTAAATAACTAAAGAAATTATATAAAATCACACCAGTCAAAACACTGAAATCCCTCTATCGGAGAAGATAAAATGGGGGGAAACTAATAGACTAGTTTTTTTCTGTTTTTCGTCTTTTCCTAAGGGAGGAATTTGCTGTTTTATTTATTTGTATTATTTTTTAGAGACTTCTGCCATTGCTCAACCTCCAACGGACTAACTTAATTCTCTCTCAAGTTTAAAATTCAGCCACAAGTTCCAACACTGGTGTACTGTACTGCCAAACCAATAAGTGTCGATATTCCAGGGTCCGATGGTATACAAAACGAGCTAAAACCTCCGACACGCTCATGCATCGGTTAGGTTATGTTGGGTTGGTCTTCGCCGGATGTTTCATACTCTTTCGAACGCCAGGGGTCTCGATACTTGTTTTGATTGGCTTAACATCAAGTTTGTTTTCGTTTCAGCTCTACAAATTGGAAATGAATCCCTCGAACCATAATCTGAAGGGTGGGGCTGAGGGAGGCAAGATATACTACACATGACGAACTGCCATTTGCCACACTCAGTATTACAATGGCTTGACTATACATGTGTGCATATTGTCACTAAACATCGAAATTTAGCAAACGTGTAGACAAGAAAACTGTAGGAAAATATTTGAGTACTGATGCATTTTTTACCAGACATCATACGACACATTTTGAAATTCGGCCATTGATAAAGCTACTAAATATGTAAGTGGTTATACATATGAATGGTAGTAAGCAAAAGGTTCATAAAAAAGACAAAGTAAGTTATAAATATACATCTCATATCTTATACAGTAGTTTTCGATTAAGTTCAATACGACTCCCAAAGCCTGACCAAAACGGTAAAAAAAAGTTACTATCCAGATTACTCGTCAGGTCTGGCAGCATCTCTACATTGCTGGACTTTTTCAGGTAAATTTAATAGCAGTTGGATGGTCCTTTCATGACCATGGGAACTTTTTGAGCCGATGGGGGGGGGGGGGAGTGACTTCAAAGTGTGTGTGTGAATGTGTGTGAATGTGTGTGAAAAGTCGTCGAGGATATTCTGTTCATAGTGTTTACTTGTTTTTTTTTGTTTTTTCTTCTGTGGTATTTCATGGAGAAATGTGGCAAAAAATGTCAGGCAGGAAGACAAAAATCAATGTATATCAGAAAAATAAATCATGAAGACTATTCCACGGATTTTCTTCTTTCATATCATCTGGAAATTTCGATAAAACCAATATGAGTTTATATTATGTTTTTTTTTTTTTTACGGGGATTAGACCACCCGGGCACAGGTCACTGACCCACACCAGGGCCTGGGGGATGAAAATATTATAATAATAATAATAATAATAATAATAATAATAATAATAACAACTCTTATTATTATTCAAATAATTCATAAAAATAAATAACAAAATACCTGTACTAAAAATAATAATAATAACCATAAATAAATAAAAAAATCGAAAAAATAAATCAAGTATGAGAACCGATATACATTATGTATGTTGTATTGTCAAAGTAAGAGAAGCAATTGAGACCCTGAAATTGTGTGTAAATGAGGCAGAAAGTCAGATCAGCAACCTGGGACTTGGTCACAATTTTTGTGATGTCATATGGCAGCAGGGTCTACCATTAGACAACACATTATGCTTCCAATATCTTCTAATTATATTCAACTGATAATCGTAATGACAAAGCAGTAGATTTAATTAAGATGATCTTCGATGTTGAAACGTTCGAGAACAGGTTTTTGGGCAATATTTACTTTGCCGTTACCATATATGAATCTGTGAATCTTGTATCCTCTAAAGAAATTGGTGAATAACCTCTTTTCGTGCATCTTTGGTGTCTCGCAAACATGGATTACAAGTCCTTTACTACCATACACCTTCATCAAGGTTAATGCAAAAAATATCACGCAAAAAGTGATAGCGTCTTGGTGGGGTCCTAGTCCCGAGACCTACATTACTGGCTGATAACCATCCTCACACCACCGCCACCATCCACAAATTGCTTTTAGACACCACAACCATATCAAGCTCATACGACCTTGTACTAATCACGACATTAACAGCCCTATTCCAAGTTGCATGTAAAAGTTGTATGTACAGTATGTACAACTTAAGTTTATAAACCGATAATTATTATTACTGTTAACGCTCATAGGAGCGTTATTGGTTTGTGCAGGATAATAAGACCCTTGTCGTTGACCTGATGAGTATAATTCGGTCAAAACCTGTTAAAGAACAATTCACATATAACAAATGCTGATATATCAGGACACAGTTTGAATAGTACGATCAATATACAGTACATAACCTATTAACATCTTAAATATAACTCACATGTTACAACTGCTGATACATCAGAACACAGTTTGTATAATATGATCAATATACAATACATAAATACACTTATTAAAGTTATTTAAAGTTCTTAGAGGATTTAATAGTTCACAATCACACTCACGTTTTGGGGTCTAGGGCTTGACCAACGAGAACAAATATAATATCCTCCTGGTAGCTGTTGTCTCTACAGTAGAAGGCGATAGACTGTCCCTCCGACAGTCACACAGCTGCAACCAGCGTGGCCGACGCCCCCATTTAAACACCTCAGCAAAGTTCGTTGTCAACACTCTGTCTCTCCTCTCATCCTCTATCTCTCTTGTCTAGTTTATCTTACTGTGGCTATCCCTCTCTTTATCTCTCTCTTCTAGTTTATCTTACTTTGACGGTAACACTCCCCCTGTCGGGCTTCGCATGAAATCACGGCATATTATTAGATTCACTCCCCGACCCCTTCCAACAGGCAGAGTCTCGTCGCTGGGCGTATTAACACTGAGTCCTTTGTCTTCACTTTAACACTTCGCACCAGGCCATCTTTCCTCGGTAGAGACTCCAGCACTCTCCCTAGCATCCACTGACTCCTGGGGAGGGGTTGTCCAGAGATGATCACAATATCCCCAGCGTGGAGATTACGGCGAGTTTTAAAGAACTTTTGTCGCTGACTTAATGTTTGGAGATATTCTTTTACCCACCTTTTCCAAAATTGGTCCGCAATGAATTGGGCATGCTTCCGTCTTCGTCGGTACGCTTCTGCCATGGACCGATCGCCTCCGGTGAACAGTGTCTCCGGGGTTCATCGGTAATATGTGAAGTGGCGTTAATGCTTCTAGATGCTTTGGGTCGTCAGACACTTGGGTGATGGGCCTTCTGTTGATGATCTCTTCTACGGCGCAGAACACAGTGTTGAGGCGCTCATCGTCTAGTGTCTGGGTGCCCACTACTCCCTGGAGGACCTTCCTTACAGTGCGGATTTGTCTCTCCCACACTCCTCCCATGTGAGAGGCTGTCGGGGGATTGAACTGCCATTCTATCTGTTTCTGTAGAAGGGCACTCCCGACCTTGTCACTGTTGTTCCAGCCGCTCACCGCCTCTCGTAACTCTCGGCTAGCTCCAATCATGTTGGTTCCCCTGTCAGACCGAATACGCTTGGGAGGTCCCCTACGGCAGGTGAATCTTGTCAGGGCATTGACGAACGAGTCGATGTCTAGTGAGGTGAGGACTTCTAGGTGTATGGCTCTGGTGGTCAGGCAGGTGAATAAGCATACCCATCTCTTCGCCCGGGCTCGTCCTTGTTTAACCAAAAAGGGACCGAAGCAATCAATTCTAGTGTGGGTGAACGGCTGGCCTCCTGGGCGCACTCGATCTTCTGGCAGGTCGGCTTGGCGTTGGTGGGTAGGCGTTCAGTTGCTTCTCCGACTAGTCACACACGTCCGTATTGTGCGGTCGAGTAATTTGCGGCACTTAGGTATCCAGTACATCTCACGTATTATGGCAAGAGTGTGTTCTCGTCTTGAGTGTCCAGCTCTAGTCGATTGTACCTCTCTCACGTGATCCTTTTGTCCCTTGGCTACAGTATGGGATTCTCCTGGTCTGGGTGGAGAGCGGCATGTTTCAGTCGGCCACCTACTCTGATCAAACCGTCCGTGTCTAGATGAGGTTCCAGCCGACTTATGTCGCTACCTCTCACGGGTTGTCCCTGTTGTAACATTCCTAGCTCTCGAGGGAAT